GTTCAGGGTCTCACTACTAGATCAGACTCGTAGTGATTCTCCTGTTTACAGTCTCCCAAGAGCTGGGATTACAGGTGCGTGTGGGGCTCAACTGTGGTCTCAGCAGGCCCCTGGGGCGGGGCTGGCGCGACAGGCCCAGGGATCGAACTGGGCCCCTGCGCCTGCTTGCAGGCACTTTAATCCGCTGAGCTACTCAGCCAGCCCTCCTGATCATCTATTTATATACACCAGACTGACTAAGCAGTCTGCCTTCCTAGCTCTCTCAGTGCCTCCTTCCTTTCTTTTTGTGGTGCTGGGATTCATACTGAATTCCACATCCACCCTTTTTTGTTTTTATTTTGAGATAGGGTCTTGTCCGGTTGCGAAGTTTTCCGGGTTGGCGTCTAACTTTCAATCCTCCTGCACGCCTTCTGAGTGGCAGGTGGAGTTGCAGCTGAGTTTTACTGCACCTGATGTGCCTACGTAGTTGTAGTTTATGCTGTTAAACACATACATGATATGTTTTTCAGTGTCAAAAGCTGATCTTTATTTGGTGTGGCAGTGCCTGTGTGTCCAAGGGATGAAGTGGCCATGGGCTGTCTCTTCCCTGGTGCAGTGTTTTGGCATATACATATTTAAAATGACGATCTTCTTGGGAAACGCAACATCATTAGTAATGCTTCTCGACTTAGTCTATTGCTTCTAGTACTAGTACCATCACACCAGTTGCCTTTTGATTACTGCCTTTAACCCGGCCTGAGGATCATAGTCTTCACTGTCTTTCTGTCTGTGCTACAGGACGCCAAGCCCAGGGCACAGCAGATGGCCAGGCAACTGCTCGACCACTGAGCAGCCCAGTCTGTGGTCATGCTTTCCACAGTTTCAGTTAATCTAGGTACAATTATCCACGCTTTTATTTTTAAAACTGATGGATTGATTGTCTTTTTGAGATAGGGTCTTGCAGTGCAGCTCAGGCTGGCCTTGAGCTCACTCTGTAGCCCAGGCTGGTCTCAAACTTTCAGTGATCCTCCTGCCTCAGCTTCCTGAGTGCTGGGATTACAGGCATGTGCCACCAGGCCCAACTTAGATTTATTTATTTATTTATTTATTTTTTGGCGGAACTGGGGATTGAACTCAGGCCGTTGCGCTTGCCAGGGAAGCGCTTATTCCACTGAGCCATCTCCCTGGCCCCTAGATTTATTTTTAACTAATACATAACACTGCGTATATTCATGGGGAAACATGTAATAGTCAACGTGTGCATACACTGCACAAGGCTTAAATCAGGCTAAACATACTACCTCCAAGACACACCAGGCCCTGCGCACACACACCGCAGCTTGCCCTCTACAGTGTTCCTCCCGGCCGGCTCTCACCACTCTCTCCCCCTGCACTTCCGTGCTCCTACCTGCTGCTCGCAGTCAGGAGGCCACTTAGGGAAGTGGGACAGTTAATAAAAGCTTTCAAGCTAAAATTGCATGTAGACTCACAATTGTTTCAAAATGAAAATTAAAAAAAAATTAAGTCTTCATCTCATGCCATAAAACAATAAATTTGAGAGCCAATAGCTGTTGTCTTTTTTAAACTTTTAAACACTACAAATAAATAATATTTATTACAAATAGAATTAAATAACCTTATTTTACTTTACTTTAAAAAACATGTACAGGAGCTACAATAATACTAAAATAGTACCAGAGCAGAGAAGACAAACGAAGGGAACACAGGAAGCCAGCCGCACAAAGCGTCCATCCCTGCCACCTTTCCGGCCCCTCTCACTCTAGGAAGAGGCCCTCCTCTGTGGGTGGAGCACCCGGACCTCCTGCTCTCACTATCGGCAAGACCTGGCCAATGTAATTTTTTAAAAGCAAAGCAAAGATTAATGGTTGTGAGGTGTTAAGAAGAGAGTGAAGGTGGGTGTTGTGGCTTGTGTCTGGATGTTCCCCGAAGCCTCCCGTGGTCACAGGCGGGGCTCCTAGGAGGTGGCTGCACACAGGCTGTACGCTGCAGGGATCCAGGATGCGATGCTGGGCTTGTGGCGCCTCACCCGGGTACGTGCGGAGTCCAGGCAGGCGCTGCTCTCCTCTCCCTTGCTGGCCACAGCCCCACACACTGGTCTTGCTGGCTTCTGCTAACTGCTGACTTACTTTGTCTCTTCAGAGTTCAGGGCAGCAGAGCTTCTGGCTGTCCCTAACTGTGGGATGCTTCACCACCCCTTCCTCTTTTCCCTTAATGTTGCCCACACCTTCGTAGAACAGTCTCTTGCTCGGGTTTTCATCAGTTATCCTTGGGTATGTCATCTACTTCAGACCAGGGCCCTAGGCTTCTGCCAACAGGCGAAACTTGTAATGCTAGGCTAGAAGATTCGAGGGGTCACTGCATGTTTAGAAACACACAGGCACAGTGATGGGGACTGGGCAGTGCTTCATAAGTCAATGACGGGTGACTCAAAAGCTATGTAGGGGTCATGTTTGATGGACTTCACCTGTTATCCCCACAGCCCGGGCAATTTAGCAGGACTACATCGCAGAATAAAAAGTACAATGGGCTGGGAAATAGCTTAGTGCAAAGGCGCTAGGTCCCACGCCCAATACAAAAAAAAAAAAAAAAAAAGCAAAAAGCTGAACACTGAAAGCTAAGTGAGTTCTAGAACTGGCAACCTCTGGGATGTCACACACCAATTCTAAGAGGGCGACATGTCCTCAGGACCCCAGGGTTTCTCCTATGGAGCCTCCTGGATACCCCTCGGTTAATCATAACATGCATCCTTTTCCTGGGATAAACTACAGTGCTGAGTGACAGCTTTGCTGGATTCTAGAAGGCCTTTTAAGTGGAAAATGACTCCGGGCACTTCCAGGAACCTCACTCAGTTGGTGAACTGGCCCTTGGTGGGGACAGTGAGAGTAATTTCTGGTGGACTTTTCATCCTCCTTGGACCCTAACTCTTTGCAGCTGGGGTCAGAACTCTAGGGCCAATGTGGGGAACTGGGAGATGACTCTCGATTTCAGGGTCTGGCTAACTCCAGGTCAAGGCACACAAAACAAGTGTCCGAAAATATGAATTTAGTTTAATTTGTGAATTAGCCTACTTTCTTGCATTTGCGTTTATGTAACTTCAATTCTACTCACCTGGGGGTCCACCAGCCACCCGTGATACAAAGGAATGTCGAGCAGGTCAAACACTACACACTCTGGTGTGTACTCAAACACTCGGACGCCAGTGAACTTCACGTTCACATCCAGGCCTGTCTGTAGTTTGTGCAGGATTGCCATGGCATCACTCATGTTCTGAAGACAAAAGGGCAGGAGTCAGCTCAGGAAAGCAAGACAGGCGCAACCGCACACCCAGATGGGTGGCGCCCTCCGGCTCAAGGCTGACGCGGGAGAATGCTCAGGGCTTCAGGCCAGTCTGGGCAATGGCCAGACCCTGTCTCTTAAATTAAAATGTCATCGAATTTCATCCTTCAGAAGATGTTTACCATTAAAAAAAAAAAAAAAAAAAAAAAGAAGATGTTTACTATTAGGTATCTGCTCTGAGTCAGGCACTAATCTGAGTTCCACAGATATAACAATGAATAAAACAAAGGTTTTGTTCTTACATCATTGGGAGAAACCTGTGGACACACGTTAACCATTATCAGGAAAACCAGAGCAGAGTGGGGATGTGCAGAGTGGCAGAGACCAAGGATCTACTCAGATTGAGAAGCCTGAAGCCAGAAGTCTCTAATGCCAAGGAGTAAGGAAGGCCTTTTCCACTTCTGGGTGTACATTGAAATGACTGCACACAGGGTCTTTTTTTTTTTTTTTTTTAATTTATGTATTTGGTACAGGGTCGCACTACACAGCTTGGACTCATAGTGATCCTCCTGTTTTCAGCCTCCCCAGTGCTGGGATTACAGGTGTGCACCACCATGCCTGGACTCAGGGACTCGCTCAGCATGCCCAGGGGCAGGGCTGTGTGGCATGTGGTGCTGGAATCAAATCATGGTCCCTGCGCTTGCCTGTGCAGACGCTTAATCCACTGAGCTATCTTGCTGGCCCTGGGGTCTTGAAAAGATGCTTCTCCAACTCCATCCATTATGCACAACAGGCAAGAAGTGGCTCTCCAGGCACGCCTACAACACCTGCACTCAGGCTGCGGCGGGGTGGAGGTCAAGTTTGAGACCAGGTGGACTTCATGGGAAAAGGGAGAGCAATGGAAGGAGCCCGAAGGCCACTGACGCGCGCAGAGCAGACGTGCACACCACAGAGCTCTACTCAGCGTGAGAAAAGACAGCAACCCTACGGCACGCGGCTGTGGATGGAGCCCGCGGTCGGTGCGCTGAGTGAGACGAGCTGCTCACAGAAGCACACGCACAGCACGCTCCGCGTCTGTGGGCTGCCCGGGCAGCCCAACGCAGAGCAGAAAGTAGCGTGGTGGCGTCTTCAGGCTTGAGAGAGAAGGGAAGGGACTGTCTTGACAGGTACAAGAATTTAGTTTTGCAAAATGAAGTTCTGGAGATCTATTAGATGACACCATGAACACAGTTAATGCTAGGAACCAGCACAATTAAAGATGATTAAGAGAGCTAGATATAATTCCTAGCACTTAGCAAGCTGGGGGGGGGGGAGAGAAAGAGAGAGAGAAAGAGAGAGAGAGAGAGAGAGAGAGAGAGAGAGGAAATGGCAGAACTCAGAGATAAGTGGCTGCCAGGGGCTAGGGGGAGGTGGGGACAAATGGGAGTACTGCAATCACGCAGTAGGATGTGCTAGATCCACTGTGACAGGTACAACTCAGCAGCACAACAGCCAGGATGAGCGCTATGCACACGGTGTACTTGGAGGGCAGGGGTGTGTCAGTTTGACTGTGGGCACAACGGGAAAACGGGATTCTCTGCTCCATCCATGCTTCATGTTCCATCGAATTTACTAACCTGAAAGAGCTAACGGGAGGGCGGGAGGGAGGGAGACCTGCAGGGCAAGACCTGCAGGCTGGCCTCTGCACACACATACCACCCTGAGCAGCACAGGTATTCACAGAAAACAGGAATTCAAAATGTCTGGCTTGTGCAGTGACTGATGATTCCTACCTATAACCCTGGTACTTGGGAGGCTGAGGCAGGAGGATTGCCACAAGTTCAAGGCCAATCTGGATTATATAGTAAGACTCTGCCTCAACTTCCCCCCAAAAATACCACAAATAAGCAAATACCTCAAAGAATATGTAGCAGAGACTAATAACATGTGACCTGAAAAACTAAAATATTTATACTCTGATTTTTTTTTGGGGGGGGGGTTGGTACTACGACTTGAATTCAGGACCTTGGGCTCGCCAGGCAGGCACTTACGCCATTGAACTATGTCACCAGCCTAAAATATTTACTATCTAGTCCTTTATAGACAAAGTTTAGCAGGGTGTGGTGGTGTACACCTATAATCCTAGCATTTAGGAGGATGGGTTGCTGTTAGTTCTGGATCAGCCTGGGCTGCACAGGGAGTACAAGGGCAGCAGGAAGCACACAGCAAAGGCCGGGGAGATGGGCAGTCTAAGCACCTGCGTAGCAAGCGCGAGGACCTGGGTGCAGTCCCTGGTACGGCATGCTGTGCCAGCCCTGAAACTGGGTGTGGTGGTGTACTCCTGTAATCCTGTGCTGGGGAGACTGAGACGGGAGGATCACTGAGTCCGAGCTGCTTAGCGAGACCCTGTATCAAATGAAGTACATGACAAAACCCCATCTCAAATCCCCTCCCCCAAACAGAAAAAGTTTTAAAGCCACTATAGAGAAAAATATATACACTAACACAATTATTTAATACAATAAAGATCATGTCTATTACCTGTTCATAATTTAAACGCTGAATTTCTGAAATTTCTTTTGGCTTTGCATCAAGCATGTAATCACCTGTGAAAAGAAATTGTGAAATTGCTTTATTATTGTTGTTATTATTAGTATTAGTATTATTAGTATTATTAGTATTTGGCAGAAGTGGGGATTGAACTCAGGCCCTTGTGCTTGCCAGGGAAGTGCTTATTTTACTGAGCCATCTCCCTGGCCCCAATATTATTATTATTTTTATTTATTTTTGTATTTTAGGGAAGGGTCTACAGGGTGTTCAGGGTCTCACTACTAGATCAGACTCATAGTGATCCTCCTGTTTACAGGTCCCAAGAGCTGGGATTACAAGAGCATGCTCCCACACCCAGTCTCAATTGTAGTTTCAGTGCGTCCCGGGGGTGGGACCTGCATGGCAGGGCCAGCATGGCAGACCCAGGGATGGAACCCCCCAGCCCCTGCACCTGCTTGCAGGCGCTTTAACCCACTGAGCTATTTGGTTGGCCTTAAAAGCTTCTTTATGGCTTGTAAAGCAAGAGTTTTTAATTATAAATTTTTCAGCACTGTACCAACAAGTGACATAGAAAGTTGACCCCTTGACTCTACCCAGAGAAAATCTAGGTTAACCATTCGCCATCAGCTCGCACATGACTTCCACATACACACCAGGATGCTTCTGACCTTTTCAGTACACGCGGACATCTTCTGTGTTAGTAGATATAAAGCTGGCTCCCAAAGGCGGAGCCAGCTTAGTGCTATTCATAGTGTAGTTATTTCCCCAATTACCTCCCAACAGTGGTACCATCATTACTCTAAAAGTTTGCAATTCTAAAAAGTCAAAATATCTTTGCCTTTAAAAAAAATGGGGGCTGGTGAGATGGCTCAGTGGTCTAAAGCACCTACTTGGAACAAGCTTAGCAAAGCACAGGGACTGCGATTCGATCCCCCAGCACCACATGCCAGCCAACCCCGCCCCCTGGTGGGCTGAGCTGGCCACACACACACAAATAAATAAATGTTAAATAAATAAAAATTTAAAAAAAAAATGGTAATTTAGCCAGGTATGGTGTTGCACAACTGTGATTCCAGCCCTCTAGGAGGCTGACATAGGAGGGCTGTGAGTTAAGAGCCCGGCCTAGACAACTTAGCACGAAAAAGCCTGTCTTAAAATGAAGGCTAGGGCTATCACTGAGCACTTGGTTCAGTCTCAAAATCTGAAGACAGACAGACTGAAAGAAAAGCAAAGCCCAACTGCTTTTTCTGAGACAAGCTGTTGTCCAGGCTGGCCTTGAACTTACTACATAGCCTAGGCTGGTCCTGAACTCACAGCAATCCTCCTACCTGAGCTTCCCCGGTGCTGGAAATCAGGTGATTGCCACCATACCTGCTCGATTTTTTAGTATCTGTGTTTCACTGGCATCACTGTAGTGAGACCCATATATATAATATATGCATGTATGTAACTTTGGTTTTTTTCTTTTTTTGAGACTGGTATTTTTTTTTTTTTTTTTTTTACATGGGTCAGGTTGCCTTAAGGGCAGGTCTGGTAAGGCATGTGGAGGTGGGGATCAAACCTCAGTATCCTGTGCCTGACTGCATTTGCATGAGCAGGTGCTTAAAAATAACTGAATTAACTGGCAGGCCCCCAATTAATTTTTCGGGGGGGTACCAGGAATCAAACTGAGGACCTTGTGCTTGTCAGGCAAACACTGCACCACTGAGCTACATCCTCCACCCTTTTTTGAGACAAGAGTCTAAATTACTACATTTGCTCAGAGTAGGCTCAAACTTGTGATCCTCCTGCCCCAGCACAAGTGCTGTGCTGAGATTATTAGGTGTGTCAACACATACATCTTGTGTTGATGGCAGTTTGTTTTGGGGTTTGGTTTAGAGATAGGCTTTCACTATATACCCTAGCCTGGCACCAAACTTGTGCCACTCCTTCTGCCTTCGCTTTGAGTGCTAGGATTACAAGCGAGAGTGCTCGCTTCGGCAGCACATATACTAACATTGGATTACAAGTGAGCGCATCAGGCTCCACAAGGTTCTGAATAACAGTTAACTTTGAAAAAAAATTAACTTTGAAAACTATGCTCTTTTGAGCATTATGTATTTAAGTAATTGAGAATACAAGTGCTGTATTTGAAGATCACCATTCTGCTTAGGTGCCTATTTAGTACAGGACCCCGCACACCCTCCCGAGGGCACAGCTGTCCGGTCAGGACGCAGAGCCCTGTCTGACAGAGCACCAAGTGACCCCGCATGCCCTCCAGCATACTTGAGTGCAAACACCAAGAGCAGAACAAATGCTGGGAAGGACTCGGGAGCAGCTTCTTTCCTGAGGTCCCCAACGGCTTGGCTTGCTTTGTTTCTGCAGACGTCTCCCTGCATAGTTCAGCCGAGGCTGCCCAGAGATCCCCGTGCCTCACCCCTTGGTGCTGGGATCATAGCTGTGCACCACCATGTCTGGCACGAAAGGGTCTTGAAGTAAAAGAATAGTTTAACCAAGGTAAGTGGCCTCATAATTAGACCTCAATGATCCTAACCCCCTCCTATTCATACTTTTAAAATATGGTGAGGGGCCAAGGATATGGCTCAGTAGAATAAGCGCTTCTCTAGCAAGTGCAAGGGCCTGAGTTCAATCCCTGGTTCTGCCAGCCAATAAATAAATAAATAAATAAATAAATAAATAAATAAATACAGTAAAATATGGTGAATAATCTAAATGTAAAAAATAAAAAGTACTACACATTGTCATTAATGCCTCTCACAACACTGCCCTCATTTTAAACACACTTCTTGTTGTCCTCTACAGGCGTTCCTTTTTTTTTTTTAAATCCAAACAGGTCTAATTTACTCATCTAAGAAACAGGATTTACATGGCTTAAACTGCTCTGTTGAAAAACTGAACAGAATGTGACCTGTCTTTAAGTCTACAACCACTAGGAGAAGGCATGGGACAGAAACTGCAGGATGCCACTGGTGATTTCAGAACCAGGAATTCTGCAAGATGTCTGGGTCTAGATTTGAACACTGGAAAGTAACAGTTATGTTGGAGACAGGGAAATTCTCCTGTGGACTCAGCATTTGATTTGACGTTGAGGAGTTATAGCTACCTTGAAAGTGTGATTATGATACTGATTTTCATCATAAAATTCTGCAGGCGTTCTTGAAGTCCTCTTTCATGAGTGTCTTTGGGTGTGCTGTGGTGGCTGCCTCAGTGTCCTGAATCAGTGTCACCTCAGCTGGTAAGGTGGACAAGGATGCACCGTGATGTGTTTATGAGCCTGGCAGCACTTGGCAGTAGCAGTCACTATATTTTTGTATCTGCACCTAGTCAAAAAATACCATTTCAATTAAAAATTTCTTAAAATCACTATGTTTAGTGTTGGATTAAAATAAAAGGGATATAAACCAGGTCTGTAATCCCAGCACTCAGGAGGCCGAGGCAGGAGGACTGCTGTGAGTCTGAGGCCAGCCTGGGCTACAGAGTGAGCTCAAGGCTGACCTATACAGCAAGAACCTATCCCTAAAAAAAAAAAAAAAGAGGCAAAACAAAAAGCAGAATATAAAATTTACTCTTAAGAACACTATTGAAAAAAAAAAAGAGGGGGCTGGGGAGATGGCTCAGCGGATAAGCACTTCCCTGGCAAGTACAAGGGCCTGAGTTCAATCCCCAGTTCCACCAAAAAAAAAAAAAAAAAAGAACACTATTAAGCACCTGCCTGGTGAGCACAAGGACCCAGGTTCAATTCCTGGCACTACATGCTGTGCTGGCCCCATGCTGAGCCTGTCACCAAAACTGGGTGTGGTGGCGCACACCTCAATCCCAGTGCTGGGAGGCTAAGACAGGAGGATCACTAACATCTGAGCTGTGTAGCAAAACCATGTACCAAATAAATGCATAAATAAAAGATGAAAAAAAACCCCACTATTAATTTTGTTTAGCTACTACAGAAAAAGATAACGATAATGCATAACATAAATGTAATAAACCGGGCTGGAGAGATGGCTCAGTGGTCTAAAGCACCTACTTGAAACAAGCTTGGCAAAGCACAGGGACCGCGGTTCGATCCCCAGCACCGCATGCCAGCCAGCCCCGCCCCCTGGTGGGCTGAGCTGGCCACACACACACACAATAAATAAATGTAATAAATAAAAATAAATAAAAAAAAATAAAATAAATGTAATAAACCCTTAAATACCCAATGATTTTGAAAAAAAGACACTGATAAAGCCGTGGAGCTTAGAAATGTCCTGACATGGTGGTGAAAAACACGCAGACGATGAGGAGGGAGTGGGACCAAGCCATCCTCTGGGGACAATGATGGAGACAGCTGAGGAGCGGTCAGGGCTGAGCGCAGAGGCACAGCACTTCCGAGTGTGCACAGGGCACAGGTTCAACTCCCAGCTCTTCAGAGAGGAGCACAGATGAAAGAGCAGCCACGGCTGGGGACGGCGCCCAGGGACAGCGCCCTGCCTCCCACGTACAAGCCCTGGAATCAATCCCTGACCCTGAAAAAAAATCATATCATACGAGCAGCTTAGAAGACGATCGATAAAGTATGATTTATATCCACAGTGGTGACAAGGCTGAAGTAGTAATGTGACGGGACCATCAGAAATCCTGACACACTAATAGTTCAGCTGCTTGTAAAAGAGCATGATGTCTTTCAGTTTTCTGTTTCGCTCTCCAAGTTGGGTATCATGTTTGGGGCCTTCCTCTCAGTGGCGGTGAACCTAAGGCACAGGTACCGCAGCGGGCTGTTTGGATCACTGAGAGCTCTAAAAGGCTTGCTCTCACTGTTGGGCAAACAGCCTCCCACAAAGGCCTCCCCAGGGCCTGGATGGATGGATGGATTTTTATTTTTTTGAGACAGGGTCTTGCTAAGCAGCTCAGGCTGCCCTTCAACTCATGGTGATCTCAAAATCACAGTCTTCATCCCTCAGCCTCGTGGAATGCCGGGGCTACAGGCATGCGTCTCCAACCTCTACTCCCCGGGGTCTCCTGTCCTCTGTCCATTTGTCTTCCCGTGCTCCGTCTACACTCAGTCCCTTCAGGTCTCGCT